GGCGCCAGCAAGCCAGCGGCCCAGTAGGACTTGTTCCGTGGACCGGTACCGGTCCGCGGACCGGTGGTTGGGGACCCCTGTGCTAGAGGGTCTTCTGGGACCTAAGCCACCCTGGAGGACACTCCGTAGATCACAAGGAGACTGCAAACTCCTTGTTTGATACGGAGGAAGCTCTCAATCTGGCAGGAAGAAAAAGACAGCCATTGCGTGCCTGACCGAGGCTAAGACAGCCCGACCATAGAAGAATGAATAAAGTTTGAGGAACAGTGTTCCTCAATTGGGTGAATTGGGTGAGAATTTTCCAATTTCTGTGAAGGAAGTTGCCCTCTTAATAATTGGCCTGGGTGACAATGGAACTACAAAAGAAGGGGATGGATTTGTTTATCTTCCACCCTCTAAGAAAGCAGTGAATAAGCACAGGAGCTGAATATAGATCTGGACAAGAAAAGTGAACTATTTGAAAGAAATAAGTTTAAAAGAGGAAAATTGGACTGGCTATCTTAATGACAATATTAATTGGATTTTACTGAACTAAAAACTTTTTTGAATGCAAAATTTGGACCCTGGAACCTGAAAAAGAAAATGTTTTGGCTTAAGTTAAGTTAAGCTAAAGGAGAGGAATAGGAGCAAAATAGAGCAACAGTGACATCTACTGGCTGGAAAAAACTCCTAGAGTGAAAGTAAAGGAAAAGAAAGTGAAATTAATGGCTCACTTTGAGCAGTTTGTTGAAAGAACATTGCTACAAGACTCAGATAAACTATCTGCACCTGGAAATTGTTTACAGAGAACTGCATAGAAAGGGAGTGGAAACATTGTCACTCTTAAACATTGTAGCTCTCTGAATGTATATGGATTTTAAATAAATTGAGTAAACTGAAGCTGGAAAACAGCAGGATTTTTTTATAAAGCAAGTGGAATACCTTTTTCTTTTAGCTCTCCTATTTGGTGACTTACAAATCTGTTTGACATAATTTTGGGGTTTGGTGGGCCATTGTGGATTACAACGTTATCAAGAAGAGAACCTTTTTGAAAAGAAGTCTGGACTATGGATATTTTGGCTTTGTGAATCATAATAGTTAAAAGCGTGAAGTGACCTGAAGACTGAAAACAAGAATTGGGGACAAGAAAGAAAACTTTGTGGTGGATTGTTTTAGGGTGTATTCTTTGAATTGGGTATTGTGAAGTATTACTTTTATTCATTATTGATTGTTGATTGTTTCTGTTAAACATTTATTACTTAAAATATCCTATTATTTAAAATTATTGAAATGGCACGCAATACAAATTTAAGAAAAATAGAGAGAAAAAACGCATTTGCACCATCAGCAGCAGCAACAGCAGCAACAGCAACAGCATCCAGCGAGTCAACGCTCATTAGAAAGTATGCTGCAGCATGAAAAACTGAATACCTTCCAGATGGAAATGAAATCAATGTTTCAACTATTACAAGAAGCTGTAAGTAGGAATCATGACGACATGACAGAAAGCATGGAAAAGATGGAGCAAAAGATGGGGGATAAAATGGATAACATCCATCAAATGGTTACTAAAAATGAACAATGGATTCAGAAAGTAGAAAAGAAAAGAAAACAAACAGATAAGAAAGTGGAAGAAATGGACTACAGATTGACTAAGGTAGATAACGACCTTGAGCAATCCATAATTATGCTGGAGATGGATAGAGCAGAATATTTTTTAAGATTTCAAAATATTGAGGAGGAAAAAGGGGAAGGTCTTGCTGAAAAAATGGCAGAACTGCTGACAGATGCCCTGGAGGTGAGCAAGCAGGAAATCCTTGCTGGAATAGACAATATATTTAGAATACACACAAGCTACGTGAAAAGGAACAAATTCCTCAGAGAGGTGCATTTGAGATTCTCAAAGAAGGTAAAAAGAGTGGAAATACTTCAAAGAGCAAGAGATGACTCATTGAAATACAAAGGGAGAGAAATAGTAGTCTTGAAACAGATACCCAGAAGAGTAAGAGACACAAGGAAACAGTATAAATTCTTGACAAGACAATTAATTAAGCATGAAGTAAACTTCAAATGGCTGATACCCAGGAAATATTGGTGACCTGGATGGAAAAAAGCCATAAATTGGATACAATGATATAACAGCAATTCTACTGGGAAGATATGGTATGGATGTCATCAGAATTGAAAACATATGTACATGAGATAGAAACAGAACCCAATATCTGAGCAGATCATAATCCAGTAAAAGTTGTATGGAAAGGACAAAAAAAGAAAATTGAGATGGACATTGAACCAAGCAATACTGCTAGATAAGGAATTTATACAAAGTATGGAAAAAGAACTGGACTTTAAAAAAAAAAGAGAACAGGAAAGAAGAGAATTCCTTGCAAACTGTATGGGATACCGCTAAAGTGTGTACCTGGGGCTTAGTCATAACTTACATGGGGAAGAAAAAACAAAGAAAGAAACAAAATAAGGCATGATTAGTGGCACAAGGTTTTTCACAGAGGAAAAACATGCACTATGATGAGGTATTTGTGCCTACGGTATGAAAGTAAAAAGCCTAACACTGTTTATAAATTGAACAAGGCCATTTATGGGTTGAAGCAGTCAGTCAGGAATTGGAATATTTATTTAGATAAAGCATTGAAGGGTCTTGTGTTCAAG